AATATTGTAATTGATTCATAGAATCCTTTGCAAATCACAGTTCCAAGTATATTGAACCTTGGGCTGTTTGGAAATTATCAAATCGTTAACCACCTGTGGCTGTTTAACTAGCCATAATGATTAACGTCATTACGTACTTATGAGGTTGGATGAAAATCTCCTGTTTGTAAATTTGGGCTGATTAGTGAGGGGAGTTGTTTTTACACTACCAACTTTTTTCACTGTGTTGTCCTTTGCAACCGGGTAGTCATCCAAACTCATTTAAACTTAAATTAACCGCCCAAAATTTGGGTTGGTATCTACACCTTGTTGATCTGTCAAAAGTATTTTTGACCTCAAGGTTGGCTGTCTTTTTGCGGTTTAGTTCGTTCCTGTTTCATTAAACGCCATTTTCTCGGCGACATTCATAGGGCTTTGATCGGTAACTTCATTTTTACTACTTTTTAAAATTTTTTTAATATCACTTATAATGCTACCTAAAGTTAAAATCAAAGCTTAATATCCATTAAATAGTTGGAAGTTATTTATGATTTTCTTGGTTCTTACTCACTTATTAATATTAAATAACATTAAATTTACTTTAGACCACATGGTCATTTGCTGTGCTAATTTTTTACAAGTTCATATATGTTTACAAGTTGCTTAACTGTTTATACAAGATCAGCGTATTATGTCCATTTACTTAGTTTCATTCACATGTTTGTTAATAACGTTGACTGCTACATATCTTTTTAAGGTAACAATTAACATCGTTTCCATGATTGTGTGGTTCTCATATTGTAAAATTTTTTAGATGAACTGATGATGCTTTCAAAACTCGAAAGCGAAACGTCTTCAAAATAGATAAAGTAGCCTATCAACTTTGTCTTTTATTTCTCCACCTAGAGACCGATATAAGAACCCACCACTCGTCTGAGTGATCCTTATATATATATTGGATTGACGGTCGTACTCCTTTTTCCGATATATATATATATATATATATATATATATATATATATATATATATATATATTGGATTGACGGTCGTACTCCTTTTCCGATATATATATATATATATATATATATATATATATATATATATATATTATATATATATATATATATATCGGAAAAGGAGTACGACCGTCAATCCAATATATATATATATATATATATATATATATATATATATATATATATATATATATAAGGATCACTCAGACGAGTGGTGGGTTCTTATATCAGTCTCAAGGTGGAGAAATAAAAGACGAAGTTGATAGGCTACTTTATCTATTTTGAAGACGTTTCGCTTTCGTATTCTGAAAGCATCATCAGTTCATCTAAAAAGTACAATATGAGAACCACACAATCATGGAAACGATGTTATAAATTTTACCTTAAAAAGACATGAAACAAGACAAAGACAAACTATCAGAAGTATCTATAAAGAAAAAATAATTGGAATACTTTGATGTATGAGTGGAATAACAAAACAATAAATGAAATAATGAATTATTAGGAAAAATCTAACTGTGGTACAAATTGATGTTTAAATAAGATATCATAATATAAAATGATTAGTGCCAGCTCAACGCCAAAGTGATGATCATCCAATATGAAGAACCCCTTATGGCAAAATCCTGGAACAAACGGGAAAAAACAAAGAAGACCAGGTGGTAGGCGCTTCGTCACGCTTATGAAAAAGATCAATAATAATATGATTCCGGATAGAGACTTATGGAGAAATGCAATCAGGTAGTCCGTCCTAGTATAAAAGAAAAGGGAATGATAATTGGACCCCGTTATGCAACAAGGAACCAACTAACATTTTATCAAAAATCGAGTTATTGATTCCCACCGACTCCAAATAATATTATTTAGGTTTTGCAACAAGGAACCAACTGATTTTGGACATAGGCGACATCTAGGGGACGATAGAACCATATTGCAAATTTGTAAATTCGGTTGTACAGGTTTCTAATTCGAACCAAGTAACTTTGGTTCTTTGTTGCAGAAATCTGTAACCTACGAAAGTTGGTTCCATGTTGCAGATTTACTTTCCCAGCTGTGTATTATCGTTGAGTGCCAGAAAAATAACTTTGAAAATGCTTCAAAGCGAGAGATTTCTTTCGCAACGGGTGCAAAAAATCATGAATAATGTAAGGCTGATACCAACGTCTTCCACTGAAGCTTGTATTTCCAATTTGCAAGAGGTAGGTTTATTAATTTATATTTTTTTTACTTCTAACCTTAAAAGACCTCTAAAATTTTGTCCTATGACTATATTATTAGGTATTTTTATTTAATAGCATGTTATTTGCCAATTTTTAGCATAATCAGTCCTGCTTATTTATAGTTTTTTATTTAATTTTGATTTTTTTCCGAATATGTAAGTTGGTTCCTTATTGCAAAATTCTTTTTCAGGACTGGCAAAATAGCAGCAAAGAAAATCAGGGACCAAGTAACAGCAATAGTGATTCCCATAAACATGATGATATATCGATTATTAACGGTAACAGTTACGACGAAGACTCGGATGATTCCGTCAAGGATAAAGATTTCCAACCTACCTACAGCGACGTCTCATCCGACGAAAGTTTAGGACAACCTTCAGACCATAACTCGAACCCTAATGATGAAGCAGAAACTAATTTAACTGCAGATGTATCTTTCACGGGTCGTCCAAAAAAAGGAAGAAAGAAAAAATATGCTGAACAAGACAGAAAGGAAAGAAAAAGGAAAACGAACAGTAATATGGAGTATTACTCCGCTCGAGGAAAACTTGTTAAGTCAAAAGCATTTATCAAATTTGTGTGCTCATGTGCTGCAAGATGCCATGAAAAATTTTCTGCTGATGATCTCCAACAGTTTTTCGAACATTACTGGAACTTAGCGGATTATAATCTACAAACAACATTTATATCAACATCCGTTAGAGAACATTTTGCTCAGAGAAAAAATTCAAATGCGATAAATCCTGCAACACGACAGTTCTCAAGGAAATATTTCATAAATAAGGTTATAGTTTGTAGAAATATGTATACGAATACTTTGCAAGTGTCAACTAAACGTATAAATACTGCTCTACAAAAAGTAAGAAATTTGTCTACACTTGACAAACGAGGTGTTCGCGGTGGACACAACAAGATTTCAGCAGATGAAAAAAATATTATATTTAATCATATAAATCAATTTCCACGCTATGTATCCCATTACTGTAGAGCACGGAAGATGGATCAAGAATTTTTGCAGGAAGGAACTACTTTACCGATAATGTATGATCTTTACAAACCAAAAAGTGATAAACCTGTAAGTTTTTCATCTTTTAAAAAAGTTTTTTTGAGAGATTTTAACTTGAGGCTAAAAAAGCCAAAAAAGGATACTTGCAATAAATGTGATGCATTTAAAGTGAAGATACAAAGTATTAACGACGATGAAAAACGGGAAATTGTTAGACAACACGAATTACATGTAGAAGAGGCAGAATTAGGAAGAAAACAAATGAATATTGACTTGGCCAAGGCAATAGAAGACGAGCAAACAGAAACTCTGACCTTCGATTTAGAAAAAACGCTTCCTTTACCTCGCATATCTTCAAATATTATATTTTACAAAAGACAGTTATGGGTATATAATTGTGGAATTTATGCAGGTAAACAGAAAAAATCAACATTTAATTTATGGCTAGAAGGACAGGCAGGCCGTGGAGCCCAAGAAGTGGGATCTTGCCTAAGAAAATACATTCTCGCTAACATAAGCGATAAAGTTCAGCATATTATTCTGTGGAGTGACTCTTGCGGTGGACAAAACAGAAACATTAAAATAGTACTTTTGTTAAAATGTCTTTTGGAGGAATCACAGCATTTAAAGACTATTAGGCTGAGGTTCCTTGTTCCAGGTCATACGTTTCTGCCGAATGATAGTGATTTTGGAGATGTCGAATGTGCTCTTAAAAAGCAAAATAATATATTTTCACCTGAAGAATACAGCAATATAATGAGAACTTGTAGACAAAAGCGACCTATTAATGTAAATATGATGGTAAAAGAAGATTTTCTCAGTACCTCAAAATTAGAAAAACAAATCACAAACAGAAAAAAAAGTATTACGAACGAGAAGATAAGTTGGTTACGAACCAAAGAAGTTAAATTATTTAAAGATAAGCCTTATAATATTTTTTTGAAGACGACTTACCTAGACAATGACGATTACCAAGAAATTAATATACGGAAAGTAGCAGGAAGACAAGCTTCAACCGGACCACAGTACAACACGTTTTTAGAACCATTATGGCCTGAGGGAAAACCAGTTGCAGACGCAAAGTTGAGAGACGTACAAAGTTATCTTCATTTAATACCGTCAGCACACCACAGCTTTTATACAAATCTAACGGCAGACAATTCTATAATAGAGGATATAGATGGATTTAATGGAGATATAGATTTCGAACCAGACGTGGATATTTAATATTACATTTAGCAACAAAGAACCAAGTGATTTTTTTCTACCTTAGGAGTTCATATTGTACTTATGTATTTTACTAATATCATTAATACCATTTTATTGTAATAAAAGTGTTTATTTTATTGTCGTCAATCATTTTTTTATGCCTAAATAATTTCATGAAACAATCTAAACATTATTCTAATTTTTCTCAAAACTTTGGTAATGTTGGTTGGTTCCTTGTTGCATAACGGGGTCCAATTGTGATAATGTCTGCGACGTAGTCAAAATTCAGATATATAAAAAGAGACCCACGTCTAATACGAGATTTCGATAGATAATATAATTATAATCTCAGCATTAAATATGTAATAATATATCATTATTCGGTACTAAATCAGATTCTGTTTGTTTTGAAAAACTTCAAAAATTCTCCGCTTCAAATAAATCCGTAGATAAAATAAAATTAATAATAAACGTAAAAGTAAAAAGCTATTATCCAATAAGACGCGTCGGATTCGCGGCTTTCAAAAAAATATGTATCTCCAATCTCCAGCACTTCAGTTCGTATCTAACGCGCTGAAGTGAGTGGTCACAGAAACATTTTACTCTCTCGCGAGTTCTCACGTGGATTTAAAAGTTTTTATAGTTGCGGTAATTTAGACACCGGCTGAAGAAAATAACAAAGAAAAACAGAAAAGGTAAGTAAAATTTATTGTTTTGATAATGAAAAAATAAGGGAGGACTTATGAAATAGAACTGTAAATGATAATTATTTTTTTGGTTTTTTTGTCTGTCTAATTGAAACAAATTATCTATTTATTATTTTATTTTCTCATTTAAGGTAATTTTTATTTTTAAGTTTCGCTTTTATCGCTTGCATTAAGTCTTAAAATTTTAATTTGCAATAAAACTACTTAAGTCTACCAGTGGTCGAATGATTTTTTGAAATTTTTTTATTATAATATTTTATTTTGAATGTATGCCTTTTTTGACAATTTTCTCTTCATCCGTGACCCCTTTGCTTCTATATTACTTCTGAAATTTTTAGCTCCAGACTTACTACGTATTAAATAAGTTAAATTATCCATCTTTGATTTTTATCATAAGAAGCTTGATCTTAAAGCTCTCATAGATCTCTTTATTAATTTTAAATCTGGATACATCCTTTTTCATAATATATCTAGACTCTGCTACATATGTACTCTGCTACGCTTGTACTTTAATTGGACTATTTAGATATTAGCACTATATATCATGTTTGTTCTTGATATCTTAATTGACTTATATATTTAACATTTTATTCCTCTTTTTTTTTTGTTTTCTATTAGTTGTATTAAACTTGTACGTTACTTCTTGCTCTATTATTTATATTCTAATAAATATTTTTTATATTTATGAACATTTTAATCTTTTCTGATATTCTTTTGCCTAAATCAAAACAAAACACTTATTGTGTCTGGTACTTGTTTGCAGAACATTTGTCTCAAACAATGTTTCATATTACTTTCATATCTTTATATTTCTGTACGCTTAATATAAGCCAGCAACTTCAGGTACTCTCCAAGCAATATTATTGACTAGTCTATTATAATACCTTGAATTCTTTCTAGATGTCCAAGTCATACTAGTCTACTTGTTTCACCACTTTTGTTATTGAAGAGTTAGCATGCAACTGATACACCGCTGCATTAGTTCGTCTTCTCCATTCTCCCTCTACTACTTTTCTACCAAACATTCTGCAAAGTATCTTTCTTTCCCATGCTTCCAATCTGTTCTCTATGGTTTTGTTCATAGTCCATGTCTTGGCATCGTATTGCATTGTGGGTCTAATTATAGTTTTGTATACTCTTATTTTTGTATTACGATATATATCTTTGTCACTTATTATTTTGCTCATGGCTCCAGCACACCTGTTGCTCTTGGTCAGTCGCAGGTTGATTTCAGTTTCTTCCTTACATGTCTGATCAATAAGAGTACCTAAGTACATATATTTATCCACCTTCTCGAATTCTACAACTGATCCATCTTTCACCTCCAATTTAAGGGATCCCCTGGTGTTTTTTCCTGATTTATTAATATTCATTTTCAGTCCCATTTTCGTGCTTTCTCGAATCAGTTTTTTTGCTATATTTTCCAGTTTTTTTTTTCCATTTCTTGCAATGAGAACCACATCATCAGCGTATGCTAAGCATTGGTTTTATGCGACCAACCCTTACAAATTTTTCTAGAACTATATTGAATAACAATGTAGACAAGGAGTCTTATGGCGAACACCTTTTTTCACTTTAAATTCTTTTGAGACTGTACCGTTGCATTTCACAGGACAAATGGTTTGTCTAATTGTTATTTTTACCAATATTACTATTTTTTCTCGCACTTGGAATTCTTTTAGCGTTTCTTTTAATTTTTTTCTGTTTATTGTATCGTAGGCGGCTTTGTAATCAATGAAAAGTACTTGTGCTAAAAATATTCTATTCATAGCAATTGATTAGGAGTTGTTTTAGCATAAAAATTTGATCGGTTGTTGATTTTCCTGTCCAAAATTTTCCCTGGTAGTCTTCTAGATTCTTCTTTACATATATTTCTAATTGTTTTTTAATTAGTATGGCGAGCACTTTATAGTATTACTTCTAATAAGGATATTTATCTATAGTTTGCTTATTCAGTTATATCTCCCTTTTTGTGTATAGGAATTAATCGACTTATTCTTTTCATAAGGCATTTCTTTGGCATCCCAGACTTCTAAGATTAGCTCACTAAGTTGGTTTATTAAAGCCTCTCCTCCATATAAGTTTTCTGTCACAATGCCGCTCTCCTCGGTGCTTTTCTGATTTTTCATATCTTTTATTATTTCTTTAATTTCTCCTCTTGCTGATAAATACGCATCTCTTTTTACCAATCATAAGCAGTTACAATCATGTATGACAGTATCTTGATTCATTTCGTATTTCCTACATATAGGGCCCATTTATCCTATCTATTTTGTAGAGGTTAGGAATATCCAAGCACCATTACTGTCATCCTCTTTGACTATCCTTAGGTAAGATCAAAAAAGACCGAAAGAAAGCCTCATACTAATCTTGCTAGTTATTTTCTATAAAGGTTTGCATCTGCAGGGTTCTCTATTTGATTTAATAACTATTTTTCAGCCTTTTTTCTTGGACTCCATCATGCCCCGACACCTGTGTTGGAGAGGCTTACAATTTTTGTTCCAGTTTGCTGCGTCTAAATATGCACATATGTTAAACAAAATATTGAGAAATAGATTAAACTTACAATAAATTACCTATATTAAGTAAACGAAAGATTTAAACAATTTTTATTTACTTTTTTTTTCAATTTTTTCCTATATTTTTTTGGTCTTTATATTATTACAAACTGCTTACAACTGTGCCTCCCAAAGTGTTTTATCATACTCTTATCATAATTGATTTCTGCTTCAGGCACAAAATGTTGTAGCAATTTAATATAATTCATTTTCCAAGCTTTGTCGTTTTTACCTGCTTTACTGTTGTCAGCAAAATGCAAAAATTACTTTTTCCCCATTGAATTTTTCACGATTTTATTACTTGTATTATGTTTTGAGTCCCAGTAGTGCTTTATAGCTGGATTGTATCCACTCAAAATTAGAATAGCAAGAGCACATTTTACCTCCTCTCTAGTAATAATTGGATCTTGGGCGTTTCTAAAAAGAGCATACTTTCTAGTCTAATCTGTAATATGGGAAATTATATTTTCATTCCGTAAGTTTTCAAAAATTTTAACTAGAGAATTTTTAGAGAAATATGAAAAATTAGCACAAGGAAAAGTTACGTTTTGAAATGTTTGCTGATGATCTGGAAGGCCCAGTCTCGAAAATATCAATATGTATTTCGGAATTTCTTTCATCTATCATTACATTTTCGTAAAATAAGTTCAACCGGTGCCCTAAGAATTTTCCCTCACAACGTTCAAATCATTATCTTCCTGATCACCAGACTCCTCATCTGTAAGCACATTAAATACTGGGGGTTCAGTATATAGAGCATCAACGTCTAAAGCTTCATCGACATCAATCATCTCTTTCGCACCTTGAAGGGAAAGCCCTTTCCAGGAACAATATACTTCTAAAAGTTCCGATTTTTGCTGCCATGTGTTGCTAGCATTACATTTACGTAGCAACAAAACATATATATATATATATATATATATATATATATATATATATATATATATATATATATATATATATATATATATATATATATATATATATATATAAGATTAATATTATTACTAAAATCAAAATTAATATCAAACTCACCAGTCTTCCGGGTTGAACCACGTCGATATCCATTTTGCCGAGCTTTCGGGATCCTTTCTGATGCCTTTCTCAGGGCTTCCGAGGTCTCAGTCTCCCGAGCCCCCAGACACTACTACACTGTTCACTGATCACTGCGCTGTCACTACTACTACTGCTGTCTACAGTAGTGACAGTGCAGTGATCAGTGAATAGTGTAGTACCATGGAACTTGAATTACATGCTAAACAAGTAAGTCTGTTAATAAACTAAAAACAAACTAAAATCCTGTTTGAAAGATAATCGAAAAGAACAATACGATCCTACCTAACAGTTAACAACTCAAAAAAAGTAGATAGCTTAATTTACTTAGGAGTCAACATGGCTCGTTGCTCACTTGCGCTTTGCAAGTTGCCTGTTTCCCGTCAATACACATTGAGCAGTTTCTCCGCTTCTTCAGTCTCATAACGCCTCCCAGCAGTATGTATGATCACAGGTAACGTGTTGCATTTGCATTACCTATTTAATTTTTTTCTTGGAAAGATTTCCCATTAAATCCTTCGAAGACCTCACATACGATGAACCAGGTTCTCCTATTCTTAATTCTGTCATGGTAATATTCTGATGTCGTATCCTACGTGACAGGCTGCGATCGCACGCAGCTTACCCGCAGCTTTGCAAGTAGCAGCTTGCACGCTACTTGCAAAGATGCAACTGTACATTGAGCCTAAGATATGAATCTTCAAGATCATATTCCGACCGATAGTGAGCTATGGATGTGAAACTTAAGCGTTGTCTCAACAATCTGTAAATCGCATGTACATCTTTAAAAAAAAAGTCATGTATTTGGAATGATGGAAAATAAAATTCCAAAAAAACTCTTGAATGCAAGGATGTTGGGGAAGAGACCTATCGGAAGACCGAGAAAGCAATGGAAGAATGATGTGAATAAGGATGCCAGAAATCCCCTTGGCAGTCGATCGTGGAGGAGAATAACTACAAACAAATGGAAAGGTTTGCTGAGGGAGGCCAGGGCTCGAATCTGTAGAACCATAGGATGGATGGAATTTTCTCAATAGTTTTTTACATTGCAAATAATTTAGGTATTTGTCTAAATTCATATTTTCTACGGAATCTTAGCTATTTACTACTATTACTCAAAATATCTAATTTATATAAAAAAATACCTGATTGATATGATTGTATTAAACCGTTCTTCGCAGTTATTTTTTAAATTTTATGCTACTAAATTTTGTCCTTATGAATTTTGAACGTTTTTAACAATATTTATCACCTTTAAATATAATACAAGTGTTGTATATATATTATATAGTTAACATATCAATAAATATATTTATTCCTAAATAATATTTGTTGAAACTTATTGATACTACAAATAGTCAATACTGTACAAATATG